GAGCGAGCGAACATAAACCACACAGTCTCACAACTCGGAAATGAAATCGAAAGCAATCATCTCCGGAGCCAGTTTTTGTCCACACTCGCCCATTACACTCACACACTCACAAAAACGATATCTAAATTACATTCGATATGAGAAAATTATAAATGTTGGAAGCTGACGCCCAGTGATGTCAGAGAAATACCCAACTCAGACGAACAGCGACCACACGGAGCAAATTCCCCAACAAGTCTTAAATTTCTACCCCAGCGGCCTCTATGAAGGATAAAAACCTCCTGACCTTTCATGATCTAAGTTTTAACACCTGGAGGACACAGCCACGATTGGTACAGTACCATTGACAAGATGCCCTCCAGGCTACGGTAAGCTTAAGGTCCTACGAGGAAGATAATTCGTCTGGCGCTGTTGTTTGCTCGTATTGGCGGTGTAATAATAAAAGAAGGAATAACTATCCTCCCAAGGCAACGGCAACCCAATTTTTGAGTGGATGTGTTGTGTCCAGCGTGACCCCAGGACCAGCGGGTGGTGTCGGCAGCAGCACGGGCGGGAGTCGCTGAGTGTGGCGGGAGGAAGACAGTAAAGTCCGCAGGAAGTCCTCTGGTTATCAGTTATAAAGCGTTATCTACCCTACAGTTATCAATAATGCTGTGTTATCCAGGATGTACTACAGTTATCAATAATGCTGTATTATCCAGGATGTACTACAGTTATCAATAATGCTGTTATCCAGAATGTACAAACTACTCTCCAGGCGACAAGTAGAGAGCAAATATAAACAACAGATACATTCACAAAAGAATATAATTGACAAGATGACGACACAGAAGCCATTAAATAAACAGTATTTAACACCATAACACTAGTCAGAAAAAATCATATTTTTACGTGATGGAAGACTAAATACGGGTTATAATTTGGTCTCAATACATCGGCCAAAAAAAAAAGGTGAATTCTTAACGACACAAACCAACGTAACCAAACTAATATTGTTTACTCATAGACGTCCACACAAAAACCAGTAGAATAATCCATCATATATAACATATTTAACCCGGATTCATGCTAAAAAAAATCTCAATGTGTCAGAAAAACCACGATTGATCTTAGCTTTTGTTATTCAAGCTTAATTGTTATTGCCTGACCTCTGTTTGTGTTTTAGAAAGAGCTGGTTGGAGGTGGTGTTCAGCCTTGACTTGTGGACCCCTGTAACACCATCCTAAGTTTCGCATTACAGTACTACACCTTATTATACCACATTACCTCACCTGACTAGAGCCCACAACTACACCACCACAACTACACCACACCTCACTACAGTACCACACCTCACTACACCTCAGTGCAGCACCACACCTCACTACAGCACCGCACCTCACTACAGCACCATACCTCACTACACCTCACTACAGCACCACACCTCACTACAGCACCACACCTCACTACAGCACCGCACCTCACTACAGCACCATACCTCACTACACCTCACTACAGCACCACACCTCACTACAGCACCACACCTCACTATCAACTAGCCACCCCCTTCCCTCATCCCCCAATATTTCGACGTCAAGGTAATTAACCAATGTTCGCAAATGTGTACAAAATATTCCTTTATTTTTTTCGTTTCACAAAAGTCATTCTACACCAAACCCATCCGAAACATTCTACGGGATAACGCCACAAACACTACGGGATGACGTCACAAACACTACTGGATTACGGCACAAACTCTACGGGGTAACCACCTCAGTTTTAACTATCGTTTTAAAAAACACAAAATTTAATAAAACAGAAATTCTTACCTAGCGTGTAGAAGATAAAAGCATACTGATTTATACATACAAGCACAAACAAGTTATATACTGCACACGGTCAAGAGGTGAAGCGTCCAACCCCTGATAACTCAAGAGTGTAGCAAGATACAGTACACGATTCAGTCAACTCTATCTAGTATTACACACACGCAATCGCGCACGCACACGTGCAAACACGAACAGCGCACACAAACACACACGAACACAAACACGCGCACACACGAACACAAACACGCACAAACACAAACACGCGCACACACGAACACCAACATGTACACTCACGAACACAAACACGCACACACGAACACAAACAACACGAACACCAACACGCACACACACGAACACCACGCGCACACACGAACACAAACACGCACACGAACACCAGCACACACACGAACACCAACACGCACACACAGACACAAACACGCGCACACACAAACACGAACACACAAACGCGCACACAAACGAACAAAAACACCCATACACACGAACACAAACACGCGCACACAACGAACACAAACAAGCACACACACACACACACAAGCACACACGCGCAGTGAACTTTCCCCAGGTGTTATAATATGGGTAACAAGATGAGGCTCACTGAACTGCAACTACTGTATCTTGACTACAGACAAGACTCATCCATATACACAGGCGTCCTCAAAGTTGGATATTTCTTAGTTTATCAATGTCACTCCTCGGTGTTGCTTTTTGGAATCTTTATCTCCTCACCTTGATCCCAACACCTGTCACTGATCACACTGATGCACTGTAGCGGTAAGTTTTAACTCCACGGTCCCTTAAACTCCAGCACAACCTCCTATACGGCTCTGCTTTATACACACACTGCGAGTAATCAGTACAGTAGATCACACAACAGTAGGACACACAACATACCAGTAATACCTAAGTTATGTATGCAAACAAAATCAATGAACTCGATGTACCTCAGTCACAACACACTCCCCTTCTCTCTTCTACCATCCACTTCTCTAAACAACACATACGTTCATAACACCTAAGACAACCTTGATCTACTCTGTCAAATATTTCTTTCTCTTACACTTCTTTTCATCGCTCTCATGCAATATTTTCGCCACTTGCAACTTGTTTTTTTTTTATCCAGTGTCTATGGTTCATACTCTTACAATAAAGTCTGTTAGATTATTCCCTTGTTTATCTTCATCTTTATCACCTCTTTTTCTCTAAGTAAACGTAATCCATTCGTCACTCAGTGTTCCACTCATCGACACATCCACTTCTTCCATTTCATCACATTTAAACTAATATCCAGTCGTCCCTATCATTATCATCTCCTTATTTTCACCACTTTCCTCTGTTAACCTTCACTATTAACTGTCTCCTATTACCAACTGTTCCACTCATTCACTAATTTTACAACTTCATCTGTCATTAAAGCAGCGACACCTACAAACACCAGCTAAATCATCTCTCATTTCCACCCCTCCTTAACCAAATTTACCCCTTCTCTACCACTCTTGCTTTCACCTGTCTTAACTCTCCATCCATGTAAGCATTGAGCAACCCTGGCTATGTTACACACCCTTGAGGCAATCAGAGTTTCACCTGGAGCCAGTGAAACTCTCCGACAGCTACCTCCCATGTCTGTGTATAGGACCGAGGTGTGGTGTCAAGTGCAGTTAGAAGAGCGATTGCCGTACTGCAGCCAGTTTTATCTTAGTCATATGTAAAAATTAAAGTTATCATCGTAGTAGTTTTCCTCAAAAAAAAAAAAAAAAACCCGTAGCTTGTCATATGTACATCGTAGTAGTTTTCAAAATCAATTATTCTTATTAATCCTACTTTCCACCTAATCTATACTCATACAGTCAACATATTCTTCAATGTAACCCTTCCACATACAAGTAAATAAAAATAGTACACGACAAAAACAGAAGACCTATGCCAAACATATGTTGATGGTAAATTCAGTACAGTGACACCGTACGATAAACAAGGCTCCTCATGGTGGCTGCGGGCCGAAAACATTTATGATGGCACCCGACAGGAACCAACCATACCTAACCTAACCTTACCCAACATAAACATTATATAACTTAGCTAGAAAATATCATAATAGTGTTAGGTTAAGAGTATGCTGGTTTGGTTGGTTTTTCGCCTGTCACTATTAGTGGTTTAGGTCCGTAGTGTAGCCCCCTGATTAGGTCCGTAGCCCCCCTGAGACCCTTATTAGTGATTAAGCTCCGTAGCCCCCCTGAGAGACCCTTGTTGACATGATGGTGGGGCTTCAGTTGAGACGTTTCATGTATAATTTTCTAATTTTTATTCTCGTCCTTCCCTTTGGCCACTGAACTATATCTCCATGCTATAAATAAAAGGTCAACTTTTACTCTGGTTGCGCCATTGAACTGCATGCATTATTAGTGTGTCTAGAAGTTGCATCATCAAAGTTATGGCGGTGTATGAAATATATTGGTGGGGTAGGAGAAATATATTGGTGGGGTAGGAGAAATATATTGGTGGGGTAGGAGAAATATATTGGTGGGGTAGGAGAAATATATTGGTGGGGTAGGAGAAATATATTGGTGGGGTAGGAGAACTATATTGGTGGGGTAGGAGAAATATATTGGTGGGGTAGGAGAAATATATTGGTGGGGTAAGTGAAATATATCGGTAACAGAGCGAGTGGGCTACGTGTTACTTCACCGTGGATATTTGTTCTCTTATTGAAAATTTTTCTGTCAGTGAGTCATGTGAGTTACATAAGTGGATTTAATAGGTCATGGTGATTGCCACGAAGAAACTACAGTCGATTCACTGAAACTTGCAAGTTGGGCCGAGGGATAGTTAGCAGCAAGGCAACTGATTGGTTGGCAGACGGACACACGATGTGACTACAGTTCTCTAGTAATTAATCTATCATATTCATAATCTAATATTTTACGGGACAACAAATTTTCTGTGTTGATCTCCGATAACTTCCGTACTTGGGAAGGTAAAACTTAGCACGTGAAACGCACTGGTAAAAAAAAAAAATCCAAACGCCAGGGTCCATTTAACAGACACTGGCGGCTGACCCAGAAATCTCTCCAGGTATAAGACTGTCAGCGGGGGATGGAGGGGGGGGGGATACCTGTTGACTCGTGTCTCATATATAAACAAATAAGTGAAGTACAACAGGTGGTAAGAACTCACCTCTTGAGGAAGTTGGTGTACTCTGCCTGGCGTATGAGCCCAGTACGCATCATGATGGTCTGGAAACACTTGCGGTCGATAGCGTACAGTTTGCATCCCGTGGCAGCTGTTAGGAGTCAAGGCCAGATGAACAGTGTTACTTAGGGAACACGTAGAAGAGACTACTGTATATAATAATAATAATAATAATAATAATAATAATAATAATAATAATAATAATAATAATAATAATAATAATAATAATAATAATAACAATAATAGTCATTATTATTATTATTATTATTATTATTATTATTATTATTATTATTATTATTATTATTATTATTATTATTATTATTATTATTATTAAAATTATTATTATCATCATTGAGTAAATTAAGAGAAAAATATTAAAGCAAGTCTGTGAATATGTTAACATAGTCTGCTAAATTTTAGGTTATACCGTACAACAGTAGTTTACGATAATGTTGATTGAATGGACGAACAGACTGACGGAAGTAAATAATGCCATTAAAACAAAAAATAGCCTAAAATGTCAGAGAGAGAGAGAGAGAGAGAGAGAGAGAGAGAGAGAGAGTAACCTTACCTTTTATAGTTGCAGTTCTCTTGCAGTTGTAGAGGATGGCCAGCTCCCCGAAGACCTTGCCTGGCGACATGTAACATAGCAGCTTCCCTTCCTTGCTCACCTCCACTTTACCCTCTGTGGAAGAACCAAACATGTATGGGGTCAATTAAACTTTTACAGGAAAGAAATACACAAGGTTAAAATCAACAGGGAAAAAAATATACGTTCAGATATCATGTTTCTACACAAACCTGTTTCAGTGTTACGAAAGGTTGTTTAACTTAATATATTTAAACGAGGTATCAAATGTTGATCTCTGTACAGGAAGACAATTCAAAAGGTTATCTAATAAATGTGCAAATTATATATGAAAGTTGGTTATTTGTCTAGCGTCTTCCCTCCTTCACACACACACTCCACCATGACCCGTGTTCAGTGTGTTCCCTCCCTCACTCTCTCCACCATGACCCGTATCCAGTGTATTCCCTCCTTCACACACTCCACCATGACCCGTGTTCAGTGTGTTCCCTCCCTCACTCTCTCCACCATGACCCGTATCCAGTGTGTTCCCTCCCTCACTCTCTCCACCATGACCTGTGTCCAGTGTGTTCCCTCCTTCACACTTCACCATGTGTCCAGCGCCTCACAGTACTCTTACGCTGGACCAGGAAATTAAAAATAGTGTTGTGAGGTAGTGAAGCCTAAAACCCGTAACCACAGTTCAGTTCTCCAAGGTTCCGGAAACTTTAGTGGGATGCATTGTTTTAACCAGCTCAGTCACGGCTCGTCTCCACTGTAAAGCGCGTTATTATGTTCCGACAATTATGTTCAATTAACGATAAGTATCACATAAAAAGAAGATAATGAAGGACAGGGGAGGAACCAAAGAATAGTTTACGTGAATGATGACTGTAGCAGGATGACGAGGCGGGAAGTAGTGACATACTGTATCTATTTCAAGGCTAGAAAATCTCACTCCTTCCAGCCCCGCCCAGAGTTGCACTGCCCTTGTCACTCACAGCCGGCCACACTGAGTTCCTATTCCATGATTTACGGCTCTCGTCTCGTGTCACAATTTCTATTATCGTCGGTGTCATCACAGGGTTCAATTCTTACTACTGATCCAGCAGCGACAATGTCTATCTCGTACAGCCACCAGGAGAGCGGGCACCTTCTCTTCACACCAAGGCTACTCCAAAGACAGGTAACAGGATATACCTTCCCTGGCTATTAATGACCGCAGTTCTTCATCTAGCTTATAAAGAAACCGAACTGTAGCTCATCTTCCTTGTTCAATTTATTTTAGTCAATTAATTTTACATATTCTCATCAAAATTAGTACCGCAAGTTGGATATGGCCTAACTACAAACCCTACCAACTGAAATCATGGACCATTAAGGAGGACCAGAAGCTTAAATAATATGTCCCCCTTAATCCCCTCCCCCCCTTTCCCCATGTAACCCATCAAGGTGTCGTGGTGCAGCGTCCTCAAAGCTCTAACTAGTACACAGGCACATAACCAACACGTTCGCGTCCGTCAGTAGCCCACAAGCCCTCGTCCTAACTCAACACCTTCAAGTGACCCCCACAACACGGCGGGGCACTCACTGTGATACATAATATTAACACCTCTCGACCAGTTCTACATCTCTACTGCAATACACCTACAACAGATTAATCATTCAATGTCGCTTTCAAATTTCAGCTCAACTTATCTAGACCCAACCCGACACAGGGAGGATTGTGTGTATGACTGAGCGAGACTGTGAGCGAGGGGGGGCACTATCTTCTAATGGTGCAGGTCATGTGTTGACTTAATGCACACAACAGGAGCCACACGTGCACTGATTATGGTTGATACGATAGAGTGAACAAATGATTACAGTGCAAACAAGATTAGTGTGTATGTATGTATGTATGTATGTATGTATGTATGTATGTATGTATGTATGTATGTATGTATGTATGTATGCATGTATGTATGTATGTATGAAGTGATTTTGCAGATGTTATATGAAAGTGAATTAGCCACAAACAGGTCCACTCTCGCTCTTATCGTTGCCTATATATTAGGGTCAAGAACACACTCACTGCTGCTCCAGTTTGGTGAGTGTTTTTGCCTGGTGGTGGTGTATGTGGTGGTGGTGGTGTATGTGGTGGTGGTGGTGTGTGTGTGTGTGTGTGTAGGTGGTGGTGTGTGAAGTAGGTGTGTGTGTAGGTGTGTGGTGTGTGTGGTGTAGTGGTGGGTGGGTGGTGTGTAGGTGGTGGTGGTGGTGTAGGTGGTGGTGGTGGTGGTGTAGGTGGTGGTGTAAGTGGTGATCGTGCAGGTAGTGGTGGTGTATGTGGTGGTTATGCAGGTTAAAGTGGTGGTGGTGGTGGTGTTGCAGGTGATAGTGGTAGTGGTGATAGTGGTAGTGATAGTGGTGGTGTAGGTGATGGTTGTGGTGGTAATGGTGGTGCAAGTGATGAAGGTGATGGTGGTGGTGTAGGTGGTGGTGTAGGTGGTGGTGATGCAGGTGGTGGTGTAGGTGGTGGTGATGCAGGTGATAGTGGTAGTGGTGGTGTTGCAGGTGATAGTGGTAGTGGAGGTGGTGGTGGTGGTGACGATGATTCGGCTGCCGGTAACACGACCAAATCACTGTATACACAAGCAGTGGTCAGGAGCGGTTCCTTATGGGGCATTGCCCTTACGTAAATATGTAGTGGACACATTATGTAAGTGATGTGTGTTATTTCCGTATACGTCATAGCATTGTCTCACCTGGGATGGTCGTAAGTATCATACCTGTTTTGAAGATTTTCGATACCTTTTTTTATAATCAGTTCTATTTCACAAGGACTTCAACACACGGGTTTTTATCTTCCTAAGTACGTAAAAGTTTTCAAAGAACAATGATTTTCTGATATTATTCGTAACTCCCATGGTTGGTTAAATCAGGTCTTTAAATATCTCTATATCTCTCTCTCATTGCGAAACGTTTCTGCAACACTGCAATATTGTGCGCTGGTTACTGCCACCTCCTGCCACTCTACTTTCGAAATCGATATACTGATTAATGATCTTACTGGCCTCTACCCCACCCATTCCTCCGTCATTAACAGGTCTGTCTGTCTATTTACACACACACACACACACACACACACACACACTTAATATCTTGGTTTCATTAACGAGGAGAGAGAGAGAGAGAGAGAGAGAGAGAGAGAGAGAGAGAGAGAGAGAGTCAATTGCTCCTGTCAAGTTAAAAAAATAAGTCCACCTCGTCAAGACTTGCCACACTCCACACGAATAACAGCACAGCTATCATGAATTGACCTGTGACCTCTCATATAATTAATTCCCATAATGGTAATTTGTTATTATATCTTTGGTATTGTATGGGAAGGTGTAATAAGTAGACGCACTCCTTCACTTGCTTGATACACCTCTTAAATTTATACACACCCGCCGTTGCCAATAACCACGCCTCTTCTGCCAGTAACCACGCCCCTTCTGCCAATAAACAACTACGCTCCCTTTTACCTATAACCCAACAACCACGTGATTTCTACAGCGACGTCTGGGTGCACAGTATTCTTAGCGACGTATTACTGAAACCATGTGATACCATGAACTGCGTAACACACTACAGTAAATTACATTATCCTTTCATTAATAACAAAACAAAGGAGCGTCAACATCCATTACCTGAACAGTTATAAATCATCAATCATAACGTCATCATCATCATCTCTCCAAAGGTTAAGTCCATCATTAAATAACTAATAATTCAAGCCTTTACATATTTCTACCGTGAGACGTGTGGATACAGTGTACAGATCTCGGTGTTATTTCACGAGTACTGAGTGGTAGTTTCACCTAAACGTGTTATAAAGGTGTGTGGTGTTAAGTGGAGTCTCGGCTTTATGGAACATGTTCATTGGGTCGAGAATGTAATGCACCTGTGACTCGTTATTCCAGAGGGTAATTTAGCATCATCACAGGTGGTGAGCGGACGTGGAGTGGCCTTGAGCTGTAAAGTAAGGGCGTGGGCTGCTGTTGCTGCTACTGTTCCTTGGTGTTGCTAGTGCCTCCTCCTCCTAAATCTCTGTTATTGTTGGTAAGTTTGCTGTCGTTCCTAGTTCGTGTTGCCGCCGCCCCCTACTGTTACGTTACTATTGTTGATGCTGTGGGTTAGTTACTGTTACATCTTGTCTCGCTGTTACACTAGTACCAGTACTGGCCGTGTTAATAGGTGGTACTTCCTACTCCCGTGTTGTTATAATACTCGTGTTCGTCCTTCACGCTACTGTTATAACACCTCCACCTGCTGCTGTTATAACACCTCCACCTGCTGCTGTTATAACACCTCCACCTGCTGCTGTTATAACACCTCACCTGCTGCTGTTATAACACCTCCACCTGCTGCTGCTATAACACCTCCACCTGCTGCTGTTATAACACTCCACCTGCTGCTGTTATAACACCTCCACCTGCTGCTGTTATAACACCTCCACCTGCTGCTGCTATAACACCTCCACCTGCTGCTGTTATAACACCTCCACCTGCTGCTGCTATAACACCTCCACCTGCTGCTGCTATAACACTCCACCTGCTGTTATAACACCTCCACCTGCTGCTGTTATAACACCTCCACCTGCTGCTGTTATAACACCTCCACCTGCTGCTGTTATAACACCCCACCTGCTACTGTTATAACACTCACTTCGCTACTGTTATAACACCTCCACCTGCTGCTGTTATAACACCTCCACCTGCTGCTGTTATAACACCTCCACCTGCTACTGTTATAACACTTCACCTGCTGCTGCTATAACACTCCACCTGCTGCTGTTATAACACTCTCCACCCTGCTGCTATAACACCTCCACTGCTGCTGTTATAACACCTCCACCTGCTGCTGTTATAACACTCACCTGCTGCTGTTATAACACCTCCACCTGCTGCTGCTGTAACACTCCACCTGCTGCTGTTATAACCCTCCACCTGCTGCTGTTATAACACCTCCACCTGCTGCTGTTATAACACCTCCACCTGCTGCTGTTATAACACTCACCTGCTGCTGTTATAACACCTCCACCTGCTACTGTTATAACACCTCCACCTGCTGCTGTTATAACACCTCCACCTGCTACTGTTATAACACCTCCACCTGCTGCTGTTATAC